GCAGCCCTCTGGCCAGTCAGCCCCTGCGCTCGCCAGCTGGAAAAATCTACTCACCACGGGCGAGTGGGCGAGGGCATTTGTCAAGCCCTGCTGATAAATGTAAAGCAATGCACATTGGGAAAAATAATCCCAACTAAACATACAATATGATGGGGACTAATAAAGAGAGAGATCTTGGAGTCACTGTGGAGAGTTCTCTGAAAACACCCACTCCGTGTGCAGCGGCCGTCAGAAAAGTAAACAGAATGTTAGGAGTCATTAAAAAAGGGATGGAGAATAAGACAGAAAATATCTTATTGCCTCTGTATAAAACAAGATATGGTACAGCCACATCTGGAATACTGAGTCCACATGGGGTTGCCTTGTCTCTAAAGATAGATCTTGGCATTGGAAAAGGTTCAGAAAGGGGCAACAAAAATGATTCAGGGTTTGGAATGGCTCCCATATGAAGAGAGATTAAAAAGACTTGGTCTTGTCACCTTAGAAAAGACGAGACTAAAGGGGGATATGATAGAGATCTATCAAAACATGACAAGGGTGGAGACAGTGAATAAGGAGAAGTTATTTACTTATTCCACAAATGTAAGAACTAGGGGTCACCAAATGAAATGAATAGGCAGCAGGTTTAAAACAAACAAAAGGAAGTTTTTCTTCACTCAGTGCACAGTCAACCTGTGGAACTCCTTGCCAGAGGATGTGGAGAAGGCTAGGAGTTTAACAGGGTTCAAAAAAGAGCTAGATAGATTCATGGAGGTTGGGTCCATCAATGTCTATTAGCCAGGCTGGGTAGGTGCGGTGTCCCTGGCCTCTGTTTGTCTGGAGGTGGGTTACAAGAGAGGGAGCATGTGAGGATTCCCTGTTGTGTTCCCTCCTCTCTGGGGCACCTGGCATTGGCCACTGTGGATAGACAGGACACTGGGCTGGATGGACCTTTGGTCTGGCCCAGTCTGGCCGCTCTTATGTTCCTATGTGTGTGTGGTCACGACAGAATCCACGGACCGTTCAGTCTCTCCTCCCTGGCCTGAATTCCATCATCCACACGGAGAGACCTTGAAAATGTGGAATTTGTTTCCTTGACCCGGCTCAGGATTGTGATTCAGTGTCCCTGTGACATTCGGGGTTTATTGGATGAATTACGGCTGAGAAAATCCCACCTCCTCCTTTTCCCATAAGATCACAGAACCATAGAACACGAGAACGGGAATGGCCCTTGGGAGGTCATCGAGTCCAGTCCCCTGCCCTCACAGCAGGACCAGGCAGAGTCTAGAAGATGGTTAATGATTGTTGAATGGTTAATTGCAGGGGCAGGAAGCAGCCGTGATATTGAATTGAACACACCCAACCGGGCTCACCATGGCAGTACCCAACGGGACCAAGGCCCACCCCACCACCTTCATCCTCCTTGGCATCCCGGGGCTGGAGGCGGCCCACGTCTGGATCTCCATCCCCTTCTGCTTTGTCTACGTGCTGTCTGTCGTAGGGAACAGCCTCCTCCTGGCTGTGATCAAATCCGAGCCCAGCCTCCATGAGCCCATGTACCTTTTCCTCGCCATGCTGGCCGTCACCGACCTGATCATCTCAACCACCACCGTGCCCCAGACCCTGTGCGTTTTCTGGTTCAGGGACTGGGCCATTCACATCAATGCATGCCTGGCCCAGGTGTACCTCCTTCACACCCTGTCAATCATGGAGTCCGGGTTCATGCTGGCCATGGCCTTCGATCGCTACGTCGCCATCTGTAACCCGCTGCGACACTCAGCCATCCTGACCCATCGGGTCATAGCCACCCTAGGGCTGGGGGTTGTGCTGAGGGCGGCCGTGTCGGTGGGCCCACACCCATTCCTGCTGCGCCAGCTCCCCTACTGCCGAACCAACGTCATTCCTCACACCTATTGTGAGTTCATGGCGCTGGTGAACCTGGCCTGCGCAGACATGAGCACCATGAGTACCTACAGCCTGGTTGTGGCATTTCTCACCGCAGGGGTGGACTTGATCCTCATTGTCCTGTCCTACATCCTGATCTTGCGGGCCGTCTTCAAGCTCCCTTCCAAGGAGGCCCGTCTCACGTCCCTGGGCACCTGCAGCTCCCACATCGGTGCCATCCTCGGGTTTTATATTCCAGCCTTTTTTTCCATTCTCACCCATCGGTTTGGCCACAGCATGGCTCCTCACGTCCACATTATTGTAGCCAACATCTATATGCTGGTTCCCCCCATGATAAACCCCATCATCTATGGGGTCAGAACCAAAAAGATCCGCAATAGAGTCCTCCAGGTCTTCAGTGCCGTGGACTGTCACACTATTTCATAAGGGGACATATGTCCTGGGGGAGAGATGTTTTCATAGACTCCCTCCCCTCCCATCCACCATGGCCACGGGCACCTTTCTCCCTACCGGATCATAATGCAACCCTTGGGCAACGAGAGCAGAGAGGGGCGTGGAAAAGCAGTGCTGCGGAAGCAGGCTGTGCAGTTGCAGCTTCCTGCCGATTCATGCTTGGGAGCTGGACAGTAAGAGATGCCCCCGTGCTGTGTTTGCATCCATACTTCTCAGGACTGTGGAGACGTAATGTGCAGACCTCTTGTGGCTCGTGGACCAGAGTCTGGGAACATCCAGTCTTCGACAAATGGCCCTAGAGGGCTTCTCTGCTGCGTGCCTATGAATGTGCTCCACCCATCCGCAGTAGAGAAACGGACTCTAGTCCTGCATGAGGCTAAATCTCCTCTATCTGCTCATAAATCCTCCACCAGCGGAGAATGAGCATGCCACCTATTTAACAGCTACAGGTGTTGTCTCCTCTCGCTCCTTCTTCACAAGGTGCAGGAGAAATAGCTCCATTAACCTATTGGCTTTTGAAGGGTAGATGAGAGAGGGGGGCTATTGAGAGCTAATGTGAGGTGGGAACGCTAGGCATGGCCACGGTGAGGCCTGTGTCCGTTCTGATGGCCCCTGGCAGTCGACATGGACAGTGAGGTCTGTGAGGTGCTCGGTCTGGTGCCGGGGACTAGACTTGAGGACCTCTCAAAGTTCCTTCCAATTCGAGCATTCTGCTCGAGGGTCTCCGCTGTACGTTCTGCCTCCCGTGCTCACAACCCGTTCCTGTCGCTCTACAGCTGGGTCTCCTCATTTCAGACAGCTCCTTCTCTAGCGTAGCTCCTGGGACGTCCCCGGCTTTCAGCAGGGCCATGCAGATCAGTGCTTCCCTCACTGCGGAATGTTTGTCCCCAAATCTGTGCCAAGAGGGCCAAGGGGGGTATCCATTGAAAACTCATGCTCTGCTCTTTCTCTTTGTGCTACTCCTACACCTGGATGATTTTTGAGGGGGAATTTAGGAGAAGTGGCTCCGTCCTGGCATTTTAAATGTTCGGTTCTGGCGTCGCCTGCCTATTGAGAGGGGTGGCGACTCAGTGAGGTGTGGTGCTCCATAGTCAATGTGCCGTAAGTGTTGTAAGAATTCTGCTGCAAACCTGCAGAGCAGCAGGGACACCTGACAAGGACCCGGACAGGTGACTTGCTCTTGGGACATTCTCCATGTTGGGAGGCACCTTCTCAGAGGAGAACAACGGGACTCCCCCCCGTGGGCAAGGATATGAAAGGACAGTCCCCAAGGACTCCACGATGCCCAGAGGCCACGGGGATTTGGAGCTGCAGGCCTATTACGCTGTGTGGGTGCACAATAGTCAGTCCAGAGCTGGGCTGCTCGATCCGTAGAGCCGCTCATGCCCGGCCATTGATTTGGGTGCCCTGTTGCGCAAAATCATTTTTGGAAAAGGGCTTTTGCCCGAATGGGAACGTCAACGCATTTGCACAAGAAGCACTGATTTCGGACAGTAGAACGTCAGTGCTTTTGAACAAAATCAACCGGCCAGTGTAGACAGCTGGCAAGTTTTTGCGCCAAAGCTATCGCTTTTGCGGAAAAACTAGCCAGTCGAAACGCAGTCTTCGTGATTTCAACTCTTGGGTTACATCTACATTGCAGGCTTCTTGTGCAAGAACTGTTTTGCGCAAGAGTTCTTGTGCGAAAGGTCTTGTGCAAGAGCACATCCACATTTATATTACCAGTAGGGTTATATTAACAGTGACACTTATTATTAGAAACAATGTGGCTTTGTCTAGACTGCATCCTTTTTCCGCAAAGATCCGAGCCGGAAAAAAGCGGCAGCCATGTTTATGCAAATGAAGCAGGGGTGATTTAAATCCCCGCTTCATTTGCAATTGCGATGTGTCTAATTTGCATCCCTTTTACGGAAAAGGGATGCAGTCTAGACACAGCCTGTGGGGTCCATTACAAGCCAGGGAGTTCTTGTCTTCCCTTTGTAGGTCCACCAGCAAGATGTCTGTATCATCAAGTATCCAGCCTCCTTCTTCAACCCCCCATTCTGTGCCTCGTTATTTTCATGTTTCTAATATACTTTTAAAATCATCCCCTTATTTTCCTTAGCGCTGGTACTCACAGCTTTGTCTAGCACGTCTTGTGCTTCCCAAATCCATTTTTGATCCTTCCTAATGCCTCATTTCCCTTAGTCGCTCTCCACCTCCCCTGCGTTAGAGGTGCTGATGCACCATCAGCTCCTGTCAATGGACCTGGCTGACCTCCATGCCCATCTTCTTGGACCTCTCGGCATGAGCTGATCCTGTTGGCAAGGAGATCCCGCTGTCTCACCGAAGAGGCAGCAGGAGAGTGGAGGGATGAACTCAAATGGTCTGAATCCTTCTTGGAAGGACCCACCTAATTACACCCTGCGTTAGAGGTGCTGATGCACCATCAGCTCCTGTCAATGGACCTGGCTGACCTCCATGCCCATCTTCTTGGACCTCTCGGCATGAGCTGATCCTGTTGGCAAGGAGATCCCGCTGTCTCACCGAAGAGGCAGCAGGAGAGTGGAGGGATGAACTCAAATGGTCTGAATCCTTCTTGGAAGGACCCACCTAATTACACCTCCAGTCCACAAGGGTCAGTTCTCTCTGGGGGGCTTTTCCATATCTCCATGCAGCCCCCATGGGAGCTGGTCATTAAACATGGCCTCAAATGCCAGCCACACGCAGGTCACATCCCGCCCCTCCCTTAGGTCAACACTTGAATGGCTCCCATCTCGGCCGGGAAAGCTGATTGAAGCACTACCCAAGCTAGACAGAGGCAGTGCTGGTGGGCAGAGCAAAGCCGCGAAGGGATGGCAGCCCCAGTGTGGACCCTCTGGATGAACTTTAAACCCGCCTCTGGGCAATTGCTCCCCTGCTGGCAGAATGAAAACACCCCCCGCCCCCTCAATGGAAAATGCCAGCGGTTCTGTGCAATGGACGCTTTTCTCAGTGACCCTTCTCTGATCCAGGAGAGTTGCCTCCAGTTTCATGGGTCAGAATGTCCCTCATTTCGGTGCACCCCAGCCCAGCCCGGCTGATGCCTCCAGCCCCGAAGTGGCCGCACTGCAGTGGCCCAGGGGCTCTGTCAGGATGAAAGGTGCCGGTAGAAGTACAGGACAATGCCCAGCTCGCAGGTCCTGGCCCGGACTTTGCTCAGGCCCCAGTGAGGCCCAGCTCCCCTGGATTGGAACTGACCAAAGTTCTGAGAAGCTACTTGTGTGTTAGTGCCCAGAAACATCCCCCTCCTGCTCCTGAACCTCAGGGCTCTGGCTGTGAATTGGCCAGTTGGGGGCGGGGGTGCTACCTGATGTGTCTCTTCTGGAAAGCATGGAGGTGGATGGGCTCCTCGCTGCAAAACCTGGTGTCACAGGCTCACAGGAGGTGCCCACCCTTGGCTATGGGCAGTCCATTTTAGCCATAGGGCTTCCTTATGCAAGAAACCCCTGTTGCCTGCCTACACTGCCTTCTTGTGGAAGAGCTGTTGCACAAGAGGGCTTATTTCTCATGGGGAGAGGAATAACTCTTGCGCAAGAAGCCCTGTTTTCTGATGCTTTGCTGTAAATTTACTTGCACAACAACGCATGTGCAGTGTAGACACCCGGCAAGTTTTTGCACAAGAACAACTCTTCTTGCACAAAAAGCCTGCAGTGAAGACATAACCCTAGGTTTTTTCTGCATCTTGCTGGGCCTCACTTTACTCATCTGTACAACGTGGAGACATGCCTAGAGACTTTCATTTGCTGGGTGTTCGGTAGCACCTTCAATCAAAGCTGCTACATAGTCTAATGATATTTAATGCTGAGAATGACTGATAATAAGGTCCATGTGCCTGTAGAAAGCGTTTTTGTCTCCCTTCAGTCATTGTTCTCCAGATTTCTTTGTCTATTCTTCACCCGTCCATCCTTCATCATGACAGAGCCTACGGAGACCTGGGCATTATCCCAAGTTGTATTTCTTATACACAAATACAGAAAACAGCCAATTTCTCTGTCTCACCACAGAGCCCAGGAATACCCCACGCTCTGGGGGGAGGCATCGTAATTGCTGTTTACTCCAAAAGCTGGGAAAACGCCCAGAACACGAGACATGGACAGAGAGACCTTGGCTGGGGTGTCTCCGGTCTCCAGCCTATTTACATCCAGGTGTCCCTGCTCCCCGAGAGGCCAACCCCCGTGGGCCTGCCCAGCGCTGAGCTATAAACAGTGCAGACGCCCGGGGCTGCTCTCGTTGCCGTGCGTGGCTGCAGACGCTGGGCTGGGCGAGCTGTAGGACACGGCTACCGGAGGGGGATTCCCAGGGAAGGTCACAGGTATCTGTCTTTTCCTGCTCGTCAGAACTAGTGCGATGTGTGTGTGAGGGACACACGGTCGTTCTATTGCCTTCTCCCCTGCACAGCTAGGAAACGCTCTGGGTCCTTCCTTCAATGGCATGAATTTCCTTTACTATCACTGGCCAAAGCATCTCTTTTTGCTGTGCCCCACTCCCCAGGCCGGCTGCTGGGCTCCACCCCCGAGGTGGCTGCATTTCCCTGCCAGAGGAGGGTCTGTGGACTGACTGGTGTGGGTAGGGGCATAGGAAAAGGCGAATCCTGAGGCTGTGTTAATGCAAAGCGATGGTCCCCTCAGGGCTGTGGCGGAAGGGGCTGTGTGTGTGGGTAAATAGCCAGCGAATGGGAATTGGATGAAGTGTGCTGTCTTAAACCTTCAAAAAGCGGTTGAGTCAGAAGGCAGACAGACCAGCACACAAAGGAGCAACTCATGAGGTTTCCTCATTGAAGGTGTCAGACAGTCCTCACTAAATGCGGTGCCTCCAGGGCCACTTACAGTGGCCAATCCACGTGTGAGTTTTATCACCTAAACCCTTGGTTCCTGTAACATATGGTCAAGGAAGAACAGGTATTTCCATGGGCCAAATGTGGATGATGCAAAAATAGCTTATATCAGTGTTAC